ACTTCGCTACCGACCGCTTCAATCCTCAAATTCGTCATGACACTGTTGCTTTAATCTGATGCACATTTTGGACTGATAAGCTTTAGGAAGGATGACTTCGCAGTGTGTAAGCAGACCTTATTTCTCTTAACCATAAGCTTTTTTCGGCTTAGTGCTCACCGTAAGAGATGAAACCAATACTTCCACAATGAGTGCTCATGTCTTTTTTTTTGGGGGGGGGGGGGGAGGGTGGGACGGGGGGGGAGATTTATTCAAGTTAGTGAGCCAATTGCTGTGCTTGGGACTAAGCATTGAGAAGGGGAGGAATTTTGGGGGGAGGAAATGAGCAATATGTGTTCTCCTTGGCGTTTCTCCCCACTCCTACGCTTAGTTTTAGTGTGTGTACCAGGCGCTGCTGTGATGTCCCCGCCATGGATGCGAGCGCCCCACAACGCTTTTTCGACTCCCATCTAATTTCCTATATAAAAGAGTGACTTACTTCGACAAAGTCGCACCAACCAGGGAGAATTCCTGCGGCTTCACTGTTTTCTTCCAGTCTGAACTTAATGGGATTAAATATGAAAACGACAGAAGAATTTGGTGCAACTTTGTGATGATCAACGAACGAAAGGAATCAACGAGGTGTAGGGATTAGTACGTAACAGGAAAATGTAAAATTTCGTTACTCTAGAAGCAGTTACATAAAAGTTGTGTAAATAATCGCAACGCACACATCACCAATCCAGCGCCGATCTACTAGTAAAATGAACTTTCTTTCTGTATTCGCTCAATGTTTGTACAAGATGTAAACATAGAACTGTTTAAGAGATGAGTAAACCTACCTCAGCTGCCTGTAGTCCAGAGCTCCAGCTATCTGCTCTAGGTCTCCCGCGGTTTACAGGCTCAAAAGGTAATTGGATCTGGGGAGATGTGGTCGAATCAATGGAAATGCTGTGCGTTTCGGAAGTGGGAGTGGGACCTAGTTGGGGGTAGGGTAAGGGAAAATTGAGGAAGAGGAGAGGGTTTCGTACCAGATTGAACTACCCTACCCCCAACTAGATGCGTTAGCTAATTCTTCTCGAATACCTTCCACATCTTCGTGTTAGAGATCGTTCGATGCGATCCGTGCGATTTTCGACTGGTGATCACTAACGGTCTTACTTGACTCTATAAGGGCTCGGTCATACTTTGCGCCTCCCTTGCACCTCATTTGCCGTTCGCATGGAAAGGATATGTATTGATCACGCGATTTTGTGATCGCAGCGACTGAGCGATAACTCTGTTTGAAAGAAATTTCGCAGAATCGCATTTTTTTAGCGCTGCAAGAAACCCCAAAGAGGAATCTTTTCGAAGAGCATCACAGCTGGATCCACCCATTGTTTGTGTGTTTCCATTTGAAGAAACATTCCAGTAGCTGTGTTCGTGAATGGTTTGAAGCAGAAAATATAACTCTTTACTCACTCATTTGAAAAGGTTTGTAGTATGATGTTTTCGGAAAATACATAACTACTCGATGGCAACTCTGCTCTAGTGCTAACTTCTGACCTACGGAAATCGTTTCCAATTAGGACAAAGCACATTATTTTTGGAATTTTTCGTGCCAATTCCGATGTCTTTGATGCTGGGGATGTTTTGCTTTTGGAGTCAACTACTTACAACACGATTTCTTGAATGATCTAACCGAAATGTTACTATTTCTAGCATTTCATTCTGTTTATTCCGTAAAACTGTAGAGGAGTCCATATAGGTCCGCGAAATGGCCGTATATTGTCAGGAGTGCGAACTGGTAATGATACCGAAGAGTTCCATTCTACTATTCAAAACAGAGGATAATTTTAGAAAGGCTCCGCCCGCAGCGTTGGGCATGGCCCGAAACAGGTTTTCCACAGCCCAGCTGCTAAACAACATCCATCACAGGCACACGACTCACTCAACAACAAGCATTGATTGTGGCCGAGTAGCACGACGATTGATTCCTACCTTTCAGTAGTTGCCCCAAATTGTAGAAGCACCTAAATTCTCTAAACTGAACCCCCGAAAAGGGAGAAGCGCACTGGGGTGGCGAATTGACACGAATGTGCATCACGTGACGGGTTGACGTGAGCGAACACGTTGAAAAAGTGCAATGTGTTCGTTTTCTCGTCTGCGTCTCTTATAGCGAAATAAAGTGCAACGATTTCAACTTGCTCACTCTACGAAACAAAGTTTCATGCCCTTTCGGCTAGCGACGGCTCATAAACTTACCTGGCTGGGGGGATCTCGCGATCAAGAAGGCGGGACCCCCGTGGTGAGGCCCTCGCATTGCACTTCAGCGAAGGCTGACCCGCGTGGCAACCTCGAGGTGAGGTTAGCCAACGGCTAAATTTTTGCGTGTGGGGCTGCGTTCGCGCGGCCCTGGCAGGAGAAAAATGTGGTGCCTGCAAGGGGGTCATGTTGTGGTGCTTACATGGCCCCACTGGGCTGGTAGCGGAATGATGACGGGCGCTCATGTAGTACTGGGCACTTTAACCCATTTGCGACCGCGCGGGGTTTTCAATCTACCTGCTCGGACGAGCTCCCTTTTAGGATCGCAGAATGGCAGCCACCGGTGGCCGTCATTGTTCCTCGCGACTCTTTTCTGAAGTGGGGTGAAGTAGTAAAAACCAACAATTTTTGCTGAAGCTCTTTCCATGAGGGCCACCGGTGGATGCAATGGTCCTAAGTGAGCATCTTCGCATCAGCCACCGGTGGCTGCCATTGTCGAGAATGGGTTAATGCTAGTTTGTGCCGACCGCTGTGGTCCCGATTTTTGGGACTGGAGGAAACTCTGAGTAGGGTAGACCGATTAGCTTGCAAGGGGCTAGGTGAAAATTAATTTGCCAAACATCTGATAAAAAGTTTCATCCATAAGAGGGGGGAGGAAGGCATGTGGTACGGTGGTGCCTTCACATTCAGAATTTCCAATTTCTGCAGGTGAGCAAATACTGGGGCCGAATGCAGCAAGCCCCAAGGGGGGTTTGCTCCTCTTCGCTTCCGCCCCTTCCTCACCCAGGTGCTTCCTTCCCCTGCGAAACATTGGTCCACTTCAGGTGATATGAACTGTCACCACGTGCTCTCCTTACTGGATCAAACACAGAGGAAGTGTTGGTCATGATAAAAAAAAAGTGCTGTTACGATGGCCTGATATACCTAGGGCTCCCTGCGCCATCATGTGCCTCCCCCCTCGTCCCTACGATACTATAGTGTTACCACCAATCTGCTTTGATGCCTATATGGCCCCAGTGAGCTCGTGGCGGAATTGAAGATCCCACCGCAGAAGCGGCTTTTTCAGGAAAGAAAGGTGAGGGTGTGGGGAATAGGTGCTGTGGGCCCCAGTGACAGTTTAGGGGCCGGGTGCAGCAGCCCCAACTAGGGGATGGGCCCCCAAAACTCGGCATCACTGGACTTTTCCCCTATTCTCAATACGACAGTCGCGTCATCGACAGATAAGAGGGGCAGGATATCGGGAACCCATCCTCGAGTTGGGCTTGCTGCACCCGGCCTAAAGAGCGTGTTAACCGGCGATTTCAGTTTAACCGATTGGCTGCAATTGCAGAGGGAGAGTAGGCTTGGAAATCCCTCGATTTCTATTTAATGATTCAATTTCTACGTCTGTCATGCTATCACCTGTTATCGGAGACCCAGCTTTTGTGTCGCTGTTTTTGATTGGCAGCAATAAACATGCTCAATGAATTGTTGACATTCCACTGAAGACAAAGAGAAATAATGGAGGTAAATACCAAATAAATGACGATATGCTTGTGACCAAATTGAAGCGCTCTCCGTTTACCTATCCCCATGGGAAGGCGCCAGGAACTCAGTTTCTATCCGGCATTGTAGAGGCGTTGGAATAGGTGTTCTATTTATACCCTGAGTTGTGTGGGCATGGATATGCTAGTGTCACCGCTCTCTTCCCCCAGAACCAAACCAGCATCGAACCTTCTAAAAATAGAATTTTTGCTGTAATGATGTAAAGATGATCAGCATAATGGCCAAAGTGCAGTTTCCCACAACGAGACGCGCCGTAATTGCAGACTTGAATGTGCAAAAGACGACTTTCGAGAAGAAAATCGATATGATGTGTGCTTTCCCAAGCTCTTGATATTATTCAACCAGGCGTAAATAAGTGCTCAGTTAAGACACCTCTCTGCAATCTGTCATTGCGTCAACTCCCCCATTCTGTCACATCAATAGTGAGAGCTTGGAAATCGCGACGCGTTGTGCCTCAGTTCCGTCGAGCTTCAGCTGTAAATTAAATTGCCCTGGCTGCTTTTCAAGGAAGTGCAGACGTCCTCAAAATGCGAATATTCATCACCTCTTCTCTGAAGCTCAAGCGCCCTACTCATACTTCTTTCTTGCATGTTCTATCTTTTGATGGACAGGAATCGTCGCGGTAGTAATGTCGTTCAATAGGTGATCGGAAATATTTGTTGTTGGTTACTTCATGAGTAAGACAAACAGCTTTCCTATTCTGTTAAGCTGTTCCTTTTATTTCATTGT